CCCGTCCCCGGGGCGCGGTCCGGAGCCGCCGCGGAGGCCGCCCCGACGCCTGCGCACTGTGGCCCGAGCGCCAGCAGCGGCTCCCCGCTCGGGACCGAAGATGGCGGACCGTGTCAGCGTCGGTGGCAGCACATCCTTGAAGGGTTTGCGGCGACGGATGGGTGAGCGGGCCAGTGGCTCCCTGGGGTGGGGGTGGGGGGAAGGGGACTCGGACCCGCACGGGAGCGCGGGCTTCCCAGAGGCGCGGCGCACTCTAGAAAACTTGGCTTTGGCGTCGCCTCGCGCCGTCCAGTCCTCCCCTCACCCCCACCGGACCCCCCAGGGTGTTGCACCCCGGCCCGCGTGTTCGCGGGCTAAACCTCTTGGACTATCACTAGTCTTGCCTCTCCCAAAGGTTTACCTCCCGCACCCCCCTGGTCTCGGTCCAGGAATGAAGGAACTGGGGGGAGAAGGGTGGGCTGTGAAAGTTGGGATGAAACTTGGCTGTGTGCATCTCCTGATTTGCCTGCTGTAGCACATGATTTGGACAAGATGTCACCTTCCGTGGGACATCTTGCAGTCCCTAGGCTGAACTGCACGAGAATCAGCACTTCAGAGTGCTTTCTCCTCGACGGGTCCCATCGCCGAAAAGTTTCTTTTCCCGCTAAAACCGTTCATCTTACAAACTTTGGCATTGCGTTGCTTAGTCCGCGAGACTACCTGAGCGAAATAGTATTTCTTGCTTGCTTTTAACCAGCTCACAGGCTATGAGCAGGCTAGGCTTGGCTTTGAGCATGAATAAAACGATTTTATCGATTTTTATTGAAATCCTTAGGGATTTTTTTTTCATTTGCAATTAAAAAGTTAGTTTAGATTGGCTGCGATTGGGAGGCTATATGTTATTTAAGAACCTTTTCAATCAACTCTGCAAAGATTTTATTGGAAGCAAATGCACTTTCATCGTTCCATAGGGAAAAAGGAATCTTCCTTCTGTCTCTAGCTTATTGTTCACCTAGAGAGAGTTTATAATAAACTATTGTATTGCTTACTGATACCTAAGGCACTCTGGCATTGGTTTATTTCAGTGTTTGAAATTAACCAGTTTGTTCCAATATGTTGAAGGAGCTGTGGTCCTGGATACCTCCTGAAAGCATTTGTATGTTGAATATTGGAAAATATTTTAAAATTATGTATGGAACAGTTGCTTGAATTCACAGCGTTTCAAACTAAAAACTTGAAAGCCATGCCAAAAAAAAAAGGTTTAATCTAAAACCCTAGTAACTGACCGTTTCATATTAGGAATTGGAAAAGGGATAAAGGAGACAATGTAATGTTTTTGCTAAAAGTTCAATTTCCTGCTGGGAGCCTGACTGCAAGAGTTAAGACAGTGTCCTGAACAAACAACTTATTTAGGTGCACGGTACAGTCTATGCACATTTATTTTATACATTTATGTATGTACGCATTAATATATAAATGCATACATTCATTTATTGAGTTATGTTTTACATGCGTAGCACTGTGCTAAGGGAGCATACCAAAGAAATATACTTATTTTAACAAAACACGTTTCATATTCTTATACAGCATGGTCTTAAAATAAAAATTTATTTGAATATTTCAAATAGATGAGTATAAGAAACTTTGCCACTGACTTGTCACCTTTCCCTTCCTGTTTTTCTAAATTCACAAATGATTTCTCAGTTTAGAATGAATTATTCAAAGAATAATTTATACAAATGCAGATAAAGCTACTGGGGTTGAGATCCAGATTTTCATAGAATTTTAGAGCTGGAGATCTAGTCCAGCGTCCAGGGTCCCAGCTATAAAATCCTGGGCAGCTTCTACAAACTTGAATTTGTACTTTAATGAGGAACTTAGTATTTTTCCAGGTAGCCATTCCCTTGTGGACAGCTCTAAATATGTAGAAAATTGTCTCCAATTTTTATTGTCTTCGAAATATTCTATCTTTGGTTTGGACTTGGGAGTCTTCTGGAAGTCTCTCTCAGCCCTATGACTTTGGCTGTTTCAGGCAAAATTCCATGAATCTGCCTGGTTGCAGATTTCTTTGTTTGCCTGTTATTTTTCCTCAATACTTTAATATTTCTATATAAAGTTGCTAGTGTACAATTAAATTAAGTTCTGGCTTCACTACTTACTGCCTGTGTGATCTGGGAGAGTTATGCTTAGTTTCAGTTTTCTCATCTGTTAAAAAAAATAAAAGGGAAAATAATGATGTCTGTCTACTTTATAGGATTGTAAGAATTAAACGAGGTAATACAAATGAACTTTGTAAATGGTGAAGTGATATATAATATTCGTTATTATTTGTTAAGGTAGTGTTTAGAAAAGTACCATAAATGTAGATTACAACTTATAATTCAGCTTTAGTAATAAACTGCACATTTTCTTATTTAATCTCTATACAAAAGGTAACTTTTACTTTAATTTGGGTGTGGAATTAGTATTTTAACTGAATGTTAAGTAAAGTCTCTCATTCAGTGAAGTTGAATTAAATGTTCACTCTGTTAAGTCCATACATAAAAGCTTTCTCCCATTGCTTGGACATTTTGAATAATTTTTAAAGCCCTCCTTTTTGTGAGTGTATTATTTGCCTGTAGGAATTTGGATATAAAGTTTAAAAATCAGATTTGATATTATTGCACATTAACCTTTATATTATTTGGTTCATTATTCCCATCACAGCTACTTCTAAGGTTATTTCTGTTTAATAAAATCTTTAATCTGGTAAAATTTTACATTTTGAGAGAAATTGTCTTTATGGTCAGCTAATTGTGTAAATATGGACTATCCTTAGGACTTCTAAGCAGGAGAACTGAATGTGCAAAAACAATAGAAGAAGGCACTTTATTTTCTCTGTGCTCACATAGAAATGTTTGGAGTGTGGGGTATGTGGAAGGGTTTAATTTATAGACTAAATTTAAGAATGTTAATACAGTAGTGCTCAAATTCAGAAGATAACTGTAGTTCACAAAATTGCCAGTAGTTAAATTATTAAGGAAGTTCGAATGAGTCTAAACTTCAAATCCAGCTAGGTCATAGTTTATCTGAGCTGTTAGGTCTCTGGGGTGAAAAAAAAAATCTTTTTTTCTCTTTTGAAGTGGAGATCTCCATGGCAGAAATTGTGATGTCACTTTCAAGGTTACACTGTAAAATCACTCTCAGATATCTTTCCTCAGTGGCAATTAACATCTCAGGGTCCATTCTCTAAGTGCACGGACAACCCCCTATTCCTTTATTTATTTTAACTGCCCATCTTCAACTGTTATATTTTTCTTGATGTATAGAAACCAAACTCGTATGCAGTATCACAAAGACATATTTCTTGTGCTTTTGTACGAGGCTAGAACAGAATTGGTTTTTCCCATACTCCTCCCAAAGATGCCCAGTATTGTGGGGCATTTTAGATACAGCTATATATGGAATTAAAGGGTTCAGGAATCCTCTATAATAACTCATGTTATTTTAGTTTTTCTTACTTTCCCTCAAATTGTGCTCCCCTAATCTTATACTTCACCTTTATTGAAGTTCATTGATTACTTTTCTCCTGTTTACACAGGGCATGTGTTAGCACTTTGTATAATTTATATTATACGCTTTGTTTGCTTGACATTTTTCTACCGAGAATGATTATCATCTCATTGGAGATTCCTTCCAGAAGAGTGGTTTTCTCTGCACCTTCACTGTGCATCACAATAGAGCTTTTAACTTTTAACAACTGCAGGTGCCTGGGCCCCACACCCAGAGACTGGGGGAGGAGGACAGGCATTGCTAATTTTTTCTTTAAAGGCTATGTAGGTGGCTCTAGTTTGCAACCAGGGTAGAAAGCCCCCGATCTAGGTAATTTATAAATGTACTCCTTAATATGAGGCCCAATCTCTGAAGATCTCACTGTTAGCACTTTGCTTCCAGATTCAGATCCATAAATTCTTAAACTTTTATTTTATAAATTCTCAGTTTATGACAAAACTTGTATTTTCCAATTCCTTGCCCCCTCAATATTTCTAATACTTGGTGTAATGTCTTCTCAAACATTTTTGAAAGTATTAATCATTGGCTCCTACTCATCCACAAGCTTGTGCTACCACTGACACTAACAACTCTTATCTCTATGTCTACAAATACTCTGGGACATCCACAGTAAACACTTTTAATTCTTGGTTAAAGTATTGTTGAACATTATAGGTCCTCAGTACATTCTTGTTCTTGACCCAGATTAATCAGTCATGATTTTACCTTATAGAAATGATCCTATTCTTTATCATCAAAGATTCAATTGGCTGTGGTTTGCAGACCCCTGTATTAGCTGTTTGTATTCTTAGTATCTCACCTTTCCTTTATCTCCCTGTATTTTAGTTGCTGCAGTTGAAGTAATTGCTGAGGAGAGGAGAAATCAAAGTGGGACTACCCCTGTTGTGTCCCCGTCTTCAAATATAAGATCGTCATTTAAACCAGGTAGAATTTCTGTAATGCTTTGATAGATGTCATAGTGTCATATCTTTAAAACTTGATATCCTATTAATGTCTAACCATATTCTTTTTTTTAGTAATAGATGGATCTGTGCTTAAAAATGATGTAAAACAACAATTAGCAAAGGAACGCCGAGAAGAAAAAAAGAAACAACAAGATGGTATATTTTAGACTTTTTAAAAATCAAAATGAATGAATTTTATGTTAAGGTTATATATTTCCAAAATGGTTTTACTTGCTTTTCCTTATATGTTCATGTGGTAGATTATAATTTTTATATTAAAGAAGGCCTATGAAAAGTCTTGCACTAAAGTTTTTAATTTTTGAAGTTTCTGTTAGCTTTAATTTTCTGAAAATGAAGGTATGAAAATTTTTTCAACATTTGTAAAAACAAGCAAAATGGGATATCAGTAAAAATGATCCTAAAAATCAAAATAAATTGCTAATAATCCTAACACAGATGAGGTGTCTGTTTAACTGATTGCTATGCTTCTAAAGTGTGACATTGTATAAATTAGGATCTAAAAGAATAATCTTTCTAAAACTTGAGAACATGCTTCTCAACTATTTATCTTCTTTGATCTTCTAAATCCGCTGACAAAAAGTGCTCAACTTTATTCAAATGGAATATAAATATATTTGTTTTGATAGAGGAGAGATGGAAAAACAGTACTGTCTTTGGGAGAGGATTTTACAGCTGCATGTGTAATATGATCTATATGGATGAGGAGTTTGAAAAAAGTTTCCTAGTAAAAGGAAACAAAGCATATATTCTGGCCATGCATTTTTTAAATTTGTCTTTTAATGTACAGCATATTAATCTGGTGGGGTTTGACTTCAGTTTAAATCAGCAGAAATATCACATGAAAGAAAATATTTCTTCTTAATTTGGAATTTTTGTTTGGACAGGATGAGAGTCATCTGGCTTAGACAATCCAGTTCTCCAGAGTTAAATGAACACCCAGTGAAAGTGGGTTTTTAGTGGCCACCTTTGTTCACTTACATAATAAATCTTTAGTTACTAGTAGATTATGTTATTTTAAGAAAGGGAATGATATATATTAACTTTTTCCTTCTATGTGTGTAATGTGGAAAACTTAAATATTTTCTTGGCTCTTACACCTTGAAAATGTGTTTGGAATATTTCAGCCACTAAAGAAATGCAGCTGTTGGAAAAAGAGAGAAAAACAAAGATGCAGTGTGAAAAACAGATGGAAGAAAGACAGAGAAAGTTGAGAGCTCAAAAAGAGAAAGATGAGCAACGCAGGATATCTGCAGAAAAAAGAAGAAAACAGAAATTAGAAGAAGAAACGGTACATAATTTTATAGCCTGTTCATCAGAGGATACATGTGTTGCCTGGGTCTGGGATATTATTTTTCTTAGCCCTTCTCTGCCTTTACTGGCCCTGTGAAAAGAGAGTCAATCCCAGCTCTTCTTTTCTTCTTCCTTTCTCCTTCCTCTCAGCATTAGAGGCTCTTGCCCCTGTCCTGATAAGATTCCTGGAGATTAGACCCACTAGCCTAGGGCACCAGAAGCCTTGCAGATCCAGGAACAGAGCCCCGCCACCATCAGGATGTGGCACATGGCCTGAGGCTGGCTCTGAGCAGCTCTCTCTACTACCAGAAAGCATTCCCTGTCACCCCTACCACCCTGATGTGCCCCAGCCAAAGAGCACTTGCTCTCCCTTAACGTGTTCCCTGGCTCCCCCTTGTGTGCACTCACAGTCTCTCCCTCCCTGCCCTGTGCCTTGTGTTCCTCACGGTCCCTTTCCTGACAGGGCCCCTCCGGACCTGTGGCTCATAGTCAGCATTCCCTCTCTTGTTTTGTGGCACTGCTGCTCTCTTGTCCTTTCTGGGATCCTTTTTGGTGTCTTTGGCACTCTGTTGGTGTGAGTCAGAAGCTTCGTTCTGCCTTCTCTCCTTCCCTTCTGTCCCTCTTTGGTCAGTTGGTCCTTTGTTGTTGTTTACTGGGCATCGATAGCAAATTTCTCTCTTGAGGTCCTTCCACTACTTTACTCCAAGTATGCTTGACTCCTTCTGAATCTGGCATGGTCTCTGCAATGCCATTCTCTTTCTGTCTCTCTATTCCAGTGACTCCTAATTGTCCCTGCAGATAAGTCTTAGTCTGTCTCTGGTTCTCTGTCTGACTCTGGCCCTTTCTGCCTGAGGCGGCTTGCTTTTCTTTCTGCTTTCTTTCTTAGCTTTTCTCTTTTCCACCATCTTTGGACTTTGCCTGTCGTTCTCTCAGTATGTGTGTGTATTTTTTGTCTCCCTCTCTTATTTTGTGTTCCTCTAATTTTTGTATTTCTTTTTCTCTCCTTTTCTCTCTGGTTCCATTTCCATCCCCAGGAAAGGTCTCCTCTTTGTTTCTCTCTGCGGGGCTCATTTTTCCTCTTCCTTGTGCACACACGTGGCTTGCACATGCTCGCCCTGGCCCTACAACCCCATCTGGGGATCTTCCGTATTCTAGGCCTTCTCTCTCTCTCATGCCATTTCTTCCCCACCCATGGTTCACTACCTCTTTCTTTCTGAACCTTTTCCTGTGGTTGTTTGTGCTCTGTGTGTTTCATGTTCCAATGTTTGGTAAACTCTCACTCAGAATTTGTCACTCTCCATCATCCTCTGTGAAACGTCTCCTTATTTTATGTATCTGTGGTGAAGAGATAAAGCCCAGAGAAAGAATATGAACTAAATAAAGACAGTTTGAGAACCAAAGAAAGTAAAATAGAAAACTGTGTGCAGAGTGAGGGAGGGTCCCTGGAGGAGAGAGACAGTCCCAGGGATTGGGAGGGAAAAAGAAGACCATGTTAGAGAAGGAGGAAGCTGAGAGAGAGAACACGGGGAAGAGAAGACAATGCAGCAAAATGACAGCACAGACAGAAAGGGAGCCAGAGACATGGAGACGAGGAGAAAAGGCAAAAGAGAATCAGCCCCAGAGAGCTAGTGTGGGGGAGTCGGAGACAGACAGAGCAGGGGACATGAGACACTGTAAGCAGGCTACCCATAGAAAGAAATTCCAGAGAGCAGGGAAAATACCCAAACTCGGTGGTGCTGAGGAGGGGCAAGCGTGGACAGGAGATACATACGAGACAGGCTAGGAACTTAGATATGAGCCACGCGTGGCCGCAAATGCAAGAAGGAACCTGAAAGAGAGCACAGAGCGTCAGTACATTTGGAAACAGTGGGATAGAATTTGTATGAATCAGAAATATTTTCATAATACAAGATTAATCTCTGTTCTTAGTCTATTATAGTCTCAGGGTTTCTAGGTAATTTAGAATAACTTGCTTTCTGTTAGAAAATATAATTTTCACGTATTACCGTTAGATGAATTTTAAAAGTTACAGCTGCTTTTCTCCTCAGAGGATGTGGACTGCTCTGCATTTTCCTAGTATGTTTATCTTTGTCCTCAAAGAAACGGTGGGTACATAGTAAGGATGATGTGACTATGAAACGGTTGTTAGGGAAGAATAGAAAACCTCTGGCCCTGAAGTTGATTTGCTTACCTGAGTATAGTCCATAGTATGTTACAGTACAGGGGTGAGAAATATCTGAGAAAAGGACTCATTTCTGGAACTCATTTCTGGAAGTGGCATTGTTTTGCCACAGTGTGGCATTTAAGTTGTATAGTTGTTATCCTAACCAGTTTACATTGAAGTCGAGGGCGAGACAAAGATACCAGTTATCTTTTTTGAAACTTTTTATTAGGTAACACCAGAATTTAAACTGTCACAAATGTGGATATAATAGATGACTCTGGCATAGACTTCACTCATATGTGTGTTGATTTTTTTTTTCCTGCCTCATTCCACAAATAATTTAAGGTGACCTAACAAAACACATACCATACCAGATGATAAAATAAATGGTTGAGAGAATCAAGCAGAAGGGGAAATTAAAGTAGGCAAATAATAAAGCATAGCTATGATGAGCATAGAGCATACACGAAAGTCTACCACTCATTCTTTGTACAGTTGCTAGAAATAGGCTACAAATTTGGCTCTAAATTTCCTAATGATATAAGCAAAGGGAATCATGTTCAGTTCCTAGATGCAGGTCCAAAAGATAAAAAATGAGTTATGCAGGAGAAGCACTGGTATTGATTGATACCTGAGACATGTCTCCAATTTTAAACTTTGACCTATTACAAAGAAAAACTTTTTACCTATTTGGTGAGATGGGGTTGTTTTATAAATCAGATCAAAATTATACTAACCAGTATAATGAATATGTAAAAACGTGTTGACGTTTATTTTAAATAGGAAAAATATAAAGCTGTTCTTTGTCGTACTTTGGAACGGAGCAACAGAGTGGATCATCGGCAAAAAAGATGGTCATGGGAAGGCTCTGCAAACATGACTAATGACTGTAAATATGGTAATTAATAACAATCATTAAATTTTAAGTTCATTAATGTTCATATTTAAATATTGGCTATTAGTAAAAGGTTGCATTTACTTCAAGGTTTTAATCTTTATTTCCTAAATGAAAATGCCATATGTAGTAAATTCATATTTAAATTTGTCATATGCCATTGCAAAAGAAACAGGTGACATTTTAGAATAGCTGTTCTTTAACTCAGTGTACCCCAAATCTTAAACTTACAATCAGCATTAAAATGATGCATAATTACTAAACTTTATATAGTTTATCCAATATATATTTTACAAACAAGCGAAGTCTGCCTTGTTTACTTTGGAGTCACTATAAATTTTCTTATATGTGGACATAATTCTACAGAAATTTATAAAACATAAGTTAAATTTATATAGTTTGGTAAGAATGAGTGACAGTGAACATCATATACCTAGTTAATGTATGTCTGTGCTCCATAGAAATATATCATGAAAACTCATCTTGTTTCAGGTAATGCTTTCTTCTTGAAATAAGATTACAATAAATGTCATATTTTTCTTAGCCAACAAACGATCTTTGTCTACTGAAAAACTTGAACAGCACACTTCTGCTTTCAACAAACAAATGTCTGTGTCATCTGTAGTTCTTCAAAATTCTATTGCCAAGAGTAAATAGTTATTTCATATATCCTACTGAATTTCAATTTAATGTAATCAATTTTTTATGTGTATTTTTTACAGTACCACTTACTTACATTGTGGAACACTGAGATTTATTTTAGAAGAGTACCACATTATTTTACAGTAGAGAGAGAGAGACAGTCATTACTATTTTTTATTTTTGTCAAAATAAATCCTTATTTTGTGATTTTTGTGTTAAATATATCACATGGGATTGTTGGGCTCAGGTTGCTTAAACTGAAACATTTCAGCCAAAAAACATTGCCATTAAGTGGCATAATAATTTGCTTTAAAATTAATTTGTATTCTAGATAACCTATAAGTTTGTGTTTTTCTAGGGGCCATTTGGATTAGTCATTTAATTTCCACTAACTATTGTGAATATTACCTCATTTAAGAAAAGTATCATATAATAGCATATATATATATAACAGTGGCAGGTTGATCTGCTTTACATATATCATATTTGTTATTCACAATAATCTTGTGAAATTTGCAGGCTAGTATAATTACCTTCCAATTACCTTCCTTGTTATATAGTTAAGACTCAAGAAATTAAGTGATTTTTGCTCTAACATGCTTTTTAATGATTTATGTCTTGGTCATTTGATAGATGGATCATGATATTTAAATTGTACTTTTCACTTATAAGTCCATATTTTCCCCCAAATCAAATAAAGTGATAACAATGTTTAATGATAGATGTATTGCCAAGTTCCACTTTATAACTCTTTGGTGGTGGTAATACAATGTTGTTTTAAATAAGACGAAGTTATCTACTATTAATACTTCAAATGTGTTTTTGTTCCTGGTGTTTGCCCTTTTAGTTAGTGTTCCTTATTTTAAAAAAAAAAATCCATGATTGGGTGTGTGCGTCAGTGACCATTTCTGGCTTGTAGCACATGGTGCCTCTTACTGATAATTAAAGTGAATTAGGCAATCATACCCATCAATTCTCCCCCCCCTCAAAAAAAACCTTTTTCTTTTCAGAGGGAAAAATTGGAGTGATCTTGGCAAGAAAGAGATAGGGCAAGCGAATTCCACATTATTCCCTCAAACTTAGTCATTAAAAAAGATAAATAAATACCTCTTTTGTGCCTTGTGAATTGAAAAAGGCATAATAATTCGAATTTTAAAAATGTTTCTTTTCATTATTAGGTGCCTTGACATTTTTGGGGCAATGCTGATCTAAAATTCCAGTACACCAAAAGATTCTGGATACCATTTAAAGTATATTGTAGCAGTGGTTAACTTAGTGGAAAAGATTTCCTTTTTTTTTTTTTTTGTAGGGGAAAGTGGGGTGGGTGGGGTGTGCAGCTGCTGGCAGGTAAAGGGATTGAACCCTGCACCTTAGTGCTATCGGCATCACGCTCTAACCAGCCAGCCCAAGATTTCCATTTTTGTCTGAAACAGTATTACAGTTTTAATATGTTGAGAAGGATTTTTGTTTTGCTCAGACTTAATGTTACGTTACTTGTACTTTTTAGGACTCTTACAGTTTTCAACAGTGAGCTCAAGAGGTCTTTTATTTTGTTGTCAGTCTGAGTGAATCACATTTTCTCCTGTAATGGTCTTGTAGTGGAAAAGTTGATCCGCTTACTACCTTTACCCTCAATATGCTATCCCAAAGCACTTTTATGTATAGCCTGGGTTCATCCATAGATTAATGTGGGAAGATTTTCTCTAGCACCTTGTCATATGGTAAAATTAAATTATTATTCACCAACTAGTTCCTTTAAAAAAATTAGATAACATTATTTGCAATGTTATGTTTATGTGCTTTCATTTTAATATACCTTAATTGTTCCATAAGAATTGGCTATGTTTTACTATCTAATTGCTTTGAGGAATTAGCAAAGATTTATTCCACAGACATTTATTACATATTTAATATAATAAGCAAACACTAGTATGCTTTCATTAATATGTCCACTTGCCATATTAATGAGATGTGAAAAGAAGGGACAGATGATGACTTTCAAGATAACAGTTAAACTGCACTGAAAGAGCAATTCCAAATAACTTTTTAAATGATTTCTTTACTAATTTTTAATACAAGGAAGATACTTTGTGAAATAACTTACTTAAAGGTACAGTGTGAACACTCTGATGTGATGAATGCTGTAATTAATGATTCCAGGGAAAATAAAACCCATATTGGCAATTTCTTACCTTTGTGAAATTCCTTTAAATTGAAATGAAACCTGTTCAATCCAGAGAGACCAACATTTCAAACTCAACTGAAGATCATAATCTCACCTGTAATATTTTAAATAACCCTGTTTTAAATCTTGGTTGATTCAAATAGCCTATTTTTCTTCCACTCACTGCTGACTCATAATAACTGTTTACACTATTTTGTCATTTCTTACAGTATGCTAATGAAGGATACGTGACTTAATCACATGATTGAATTGTTGCACCTCTGTGGTTCATGCTGCTTAATCACATTATCAATTCGATGAATTTTCACATGATGCTATATTGTCAATATGTTCTTTAATTTACAAGTCCACAAAAGAGAAATTATTTTTAAACAGACATTCCTCACTCTCCTGAGCTAGAATATTTCAAGTGAAATGGAAAAATGTCCATATGAACCAGGTTATTTTTCCTTATGAATGGTTGGGTTGCTTGAATTGTGACATCTGTACCAGAAGTTAATACTCATTTTTGTTTTAAAAATACTAGTTATAACTAGTATAACATTGATTTTGTCTAAAATTAAAGGTTGTATATTCCTAATTTTGGAACTTTGATGTTGTTAAGATAGTACCAGACATTTTTCCCCTTAATTTTTATTTCATTTCAGATAACTTAAAGAGTAAACTAGTTTTAAGTTTGGGGATGTAGAATTTCTCCATAATATTTGAAATTAAATAAATTCTTATAAACAAGGGCAGAGAAGGTAAAGACTTGTTTGAAAAAAGGAATGGCACACTCCTGAAATGATATATTTAAGTAGTTTGTGAAAAATAATATTCCTTTGCACTTGATCTCTAGAAAAAAAGGAAAAGAAGAGCTCATCTTTAAATAGAAGAGAGAGCAAACTACATTCATCTACTAATATAGGACAAGTGGAAGAAAAGCCAGATGGTTAGTTTTTTCTAAATACAAATCTTAAATTGTAGTTTAAAAGAGGTATATGAGTATTTATGTTAACATTGGGTTGCTTGAAAAGTCATTCCTAAAGTTGGGATCCAAAATACACCTTCTTGAACTGAAAAATGTTCTTTGGTGTTATTCTTATTTGGCTGAAGCCAGAAAAGTCTGTCTGTAAATGGAGTGTATGATTCCTGCCATCTTCTGACAAGGGGTCTATAGTGAAGCTGAGGAAATAAATCATAGAATATTGGTATAGATAGGTTTGTGCTGGACGGCTTGATTCACTTAGAACATTTCAGATAGGTTTGTGCTGGACGGCTTGATTCACTTAGAACATTTCATCAATTTGCATTTAGAAGTTATAAATTACTGGCCACGTTTTGAACTCAAAGCTTTGCTCTGTTGTTTCATAGCATTACCCACATATATTCTTTGTGCATGTTTTCACTGATGATTATTGCACACAAAATTTTGTAATTATTACTAAAGTACTTTATTTAAAGTAGTTTTTTTTTGGACCAGTAAGAGGATCGCAACCCTCAACACGGTGTTGTCTGCACCACACTCACACCGGCCATCCCTATATAGGATCCGAACCCGCGGCCTCAGCGCTACCAGCGCCGCACTCTCCTGAGTGAGCCACCAGGCCGGCCCTAAAGTAGTTTCTTTTTAACACCTTTCTCCCCCTGGCATTTCCCTTTCACATGTGTTTGTCACTTTTTGTTTCATAATGAGCCATTTGCTTACAGAAGACTTCAGTTAGTTGATTCATGTCAAATCTTTTAGAACAAATGCCAGTGTCACAGGGATCTTTTTGAACATAAAGATTTATTCGAGCAAGATATTTACAACAAAATTTGCTTTTAACAAAAGAGTTTACTCAATCCCTTGGCAATGTTTTTGTCCAGTATGATTTGTCAGTAGTATATATCTATAGGAATCTCTGTAAAAGTTGTTTTGTCATGTGCCACTTTTTTCTCCATGTGTCATAGAGACTTCATACAATGGGGAATGGTCCTTTTTGGGGGTTATTGTGGGTGTGCTGTGGCCTTTTCCTCTTTATTCAGGTAATCTATTTCCTGACAGTGCAGTCCAATTGGATGGCAGTGTTCAATCCTATTTTTTAATGTGTTGCTTGGAAAGTACCATGTACATCAGTTCACATTGCTCTTTTTTGCTTTGCATTTACTTGAGACCTGAAACTGAATTATTTTTTATTTGTTCTCATCATTTAGCTCATCACTCGGTTACAAATTTTCCAGAGAATAATTTAATCAGTCGCCTGCTCATCCCAACAAAAGCCTCACTGGCCAGAAGTAAAAGTGCTATTGCTCTTTCAGTTCCTGGAAAAGATATTCCAGGTAATGGACATATGGTAGAAAGCCTGAAAGTGTTAGTGTTTTCACTTTAAAGTAGGCTCTATCCCTTAATTTGTTGCATCTCGGCATCAAAGAATTGGAATCAATAGTTACCAAATTAGTGATTTTACTCAACATTTGGTATTGCATATTTATTTTATGACTTCTAGCATGGTAGAGTAGTTACCTGGTTAATAAGTAATTTATCGAATGAGGTAGCTAACTGTGGGTGGTGATTAAATTTTAAAGCTCTATGGATTTTTAAAGTATAGAAAAACTTCATTAATATGAAGGGAGAAAGTTGCCTGCACCACCCTCCTTTTTTTCCTAAAATGTGAAAGAATAACATTGAGCTGCCCTTCAGCCTAATTTTCTATGAAAATTATTCTGAAATATGGCATGATTAAAATAGAAACAGCTTATTGCAAACATCAGCTTTGGAGAGGCATCTTATTTTCATCTGTAATAGATTATTGCTTTCACAGCAACTCTTGTTGGTGTTGCTTCTGAAGGACTTTGTGATGATTCTGTCTTGTGTCTGAGATCCATTTCACTAAACTTTTCCTTTATTGTGTGTAATCCCTGTGATTTCCTAACAGTCTCTCTTCTCTGTTCCTGTTCTTATACTGTATACATGATATATTTCTGTCTTGTTAGATTTCTAACTTTATGGAATTTTACTCTGTCCTCATTCACTTCCAGGCATCACTCATATAATGCAGTATGTAAAGAAGCCCTTGCGTAGCCATAGTAGTGATAAACTGGAGACTAACATGCTTCCCGAGTCAATAGCGGGAGTACTTCCTCAGACAAACTTAGAAGTGACTCCGCACAAAAAAGTAGAAATATTCCTCAAGATGAGTGTGGAAGCACCTGCCAAGGCGAGTGTGGAAGCTTCCTCCATGGTGAGCGGGGAAGCATCCTCCGAGGTGAGCGCGGAAATGGACCCCAAGGTGAGCGTAGAAATATCCTCCCAGGGAAGTATGCATACACCTCCTGAAGTAAGCGTGGAAACATTTTCCAAATTGACCATGGAAGTATCCCCCAAGGAGACTGTGGAAGTGCCCCTTGGGGCAATTTTGGAAGTGCCCCCCAAGGTGACTGTGGAAGAGACCCCCACGGACAGTGTGGAAGTACCTGAGGCAGTTGTGGAAGTGCTCCCTGAGGTGAGCAAGAAAACATCCCCAGAGGTGAACGTGGATGTGTCCCCTGTGGTGAACACTGACACATCCCCCGATGTGTCCCTTGTGGTGAGCACTGACACATCCGCCGATGTGTCCCCTGTGGTGAGCAGTGACACATCCCTCGATGTGTCCCCTGTGGTGAGCACTGACACATCCCCGGAGGTGAGCATGGAAGTGATCCCTGAAGATAATATGGAAGCATCCCTTGAGGAGAGTGGGGAAGCACCTCTCATGGCCGAAATGAAAGACTCTCCACAGGTTTGTCAAGTGCCTTTCATTGACAAGTTTTTAATTCAAATATGTATAATTTTGTTGCATAGATCATGATAGGTCAGATTTCACAACATAACTGACTTATTTCTGCAGTAAAATGAATAAAATAGGATAATTCACTTAAACTAATACTTTAAAATCCTCTGATGTTTCTTGCATCAGAGTAACCCCCCAGAGTTGGAGTATTAGTTAGTTTTTAGTAGAAGAGAGAAAATGTAACAGTTTATATGTTTCTAAACTTCGAAAAAAAATATTTTGAGAAATATTCCAAACCCTTAATTAGGTTTCTTAATTAAGATTTCTTTTAATTTAATTATTTCTGTAATCTCCTTGAATTGTGTAATATAAATTGTTAGTGTGGAAGAAAATGTCTGATTTTCATGCATTAAAAGAAAGCTAGGGGTTTAAGGAACTATAATTGTATATCATTCACAATGTTTTTCTCTTAAAAAGAATAGCCAGCTGCAGTGAAATAACTGCTAGTAATTTCTTATTGCACTGATCTGTTCAGACATCAGAAGTGGACCAACAGGCCTCAAACCCTGTTACCAAGAAGCGCCCATCGTCACACATACCATGTTATAAGTGGTCATTGGGACATGCAAGAAGGTGGCATTCATCTTCTCCCATCAACACTAAGTAAGTAGCTTATTTGCAATTGTTCCTGATAGGTATTTTACCATGACATATTTTGTGTCAGTGTTTTATAAAATAGTATCCTACTGGTAACATAAATGTAAAGGAAAAAACCCTTAAAAATGTGTTTACTTTTTATAGAAATTCCCAGGTTATAATGTCATTATCTCATAACGTCAAGACATATTTCATGAAATTGTACACTAAAAATTAATTGGCACACATGTATTACTTTTTCTCAGCAGACAAACTCAAAAGAACCGTCTCTGGTCATCTTCATCAGTCATATCAAAACAATCAGCACAGTATTCACTTTCTTATAGAGTAATACCTGTTCAGTGTAGCCCGTTTGTACAGAATCCATTAGGTACTGTCAACAAGAAAAGAGAAACAGTTTCTGAAACCACTAACAAATGTGAGGATGGGAGCCAAAGGCAAATGATCTGTGAAGGTAAGTTTTTTCACTAACGAGTTTATTTTAGCAGCACAAAAGATTTTAAGGTAATTTGGGAATGGTCAACTTCATTTTATTCCCCAACTGAAGGAACTTTAGGCAGTGATCTTTCTTTTAGATAAAGAGAATTGAACTGATCACTAATACACTGGAATGTATTTTCTCTGCTTGCTTGTCCTTGCCAAAGCTTCTTACTTACCCACACCCCTGTGTTTTGAAAAATCCATTTTTGGAACCTCTGTTAAAAGTGCAGGTTGAAGGCCGGCCCATGGCTCACTTGGGAGAGTGTGGTGCTGATAACACCAAGGCCACGGGTTCGGATCCCTATATAGAGATGGCTGGTTAGCTCACTTGGGAGAGCGTGGTGCTGACAACACCAAGTCAAGGGTTAAGATCCCCTTACCGGTCATTTAAAAAAAATAAAATAAAGTGCAGGTTGGATGAGGGACTTGATCCCTACAGTTCTTCCAGCTCTGATATTGGATGGTTCTTAGAGCACATCTAGCCATATGTAGATGAGCAGGTTTTCATCAGGAGATGTGAATCAGTTTACACACACAGGCCACAAGACATGGTGCTCCTTGGTTTGTTTAGTGTACAGGTACAGGTTCCTGAAAGTGCTATATTGCTATTTTGCTTGTCACATGTATTCTTAATACCCATGGTCATTACTTAATTTTAAATACACTAAGGAATTTTGCTTTTTAAAGGAATTCTACAGTGAATTATTTGCAACAGAAACAATCTTTTTATTATAAATTATTCATTCCTGGTATGTCTTAAAATTCTTATTTTCATATGTAGTTTATTTAAAACAAAGAAATTAGTTACATAGACTAAATTATTATATGCCTCCATTTACTCACCTTATTTTACTGATAGTCTTGGTTTCTTTTGTTATCTAGTTAGCCACTTTATGATCAACCAAATGTATGTACAAAAGTTTAGCTAAACAGTGATTATATAAAAAATGATGCACAAATCTAAAATGTATGCCAATGTATTTTTGTTTAGTCGAGTATTTAAGGTTTGGACCCTTCATCTGGACGAAGCATAAGCTTGTCTTCCTCTATATTCAGTGTATCTTTCTCTTTTCCAGTAGGGTCAATTGATTCAGTTATCTTAAAACAGCTAAAACATAGGAAGTACGTTATTTCTTTTTGGAACAAGTAGTTAAAAAGAAACAAAATGTTATTTCTATTGTTAAGGGTGCAGTTTGAACAAAATCTGTTATATAATCACTTACAGTTTGCTTGTGACTTATAAATTTTGGACTACACACATACTGTTTGGTTTTTTTATTTTTATTTGTTTGTTTGTTTATTTTTGGCAGCTGGCCAGTATGGGGATCCGAACTCTTTTTTGTTGTCTTTTATTTATTTATTTGAACCCTTGACCTTGCTGTTACAAGGCTGTGCTCTAACCAATGAGCTAACTGGCCAGCCTCCAGGATTCTTTTTTTTTTTTTTTTTTGCATCTGGCCAGTATAGGGATCGGATCCTGGACCTTGGTGTTATCAGCACCATGCTCTAACCAACTGAGATAACCCGCCAATCTGTTTGGATTTTCTTAATGTTTTAGATGGTGTTGCACTCTGTTGGACTAAGAGACAATAAGATTCCTAAACTAACTGTTTCTCATGTTAATTTAAATTAGATCCCGGTAATAAAAACACACCTGGGACTATGAGTGCCGAGGAGGCAACAAAAATTTTGGCAGAAAGACGCCGCCTTGTTCGTGAACAAAGAGAAAAAGATGAAAGACTACAGGAAGAGATGGAAACAAGGTGAACATATCATCCTTTCTATACTCTAAATCTTGGCTGGGTCCCAAATTTTGAAAGTTAAAATATTGCCCTCAAAGTATAAATTCTCAAACAGCAACTGACTTTTTCTTCTTTGAGGATCAGAAATGTCTCATTGCTTTCTAAACAAGTAAAGACAGTATAGAAAACATCTCAAGGCTTTGAAATAGCTGAGTTGGTGTGTGGATGAATGGTGCAGTCCTTTTTAGTCTCCATACTTCATGTGCCATTAAGGTGTGCTTGGAGAATGCATAAAGACTGAACTCATGTCCAGTGTTTGGTCTCTCAGCTCTCAGCAATAGCACCTGAGTGATCACACAAGAATGTCTGTTTGCGTTTGCTGGCATCCACCCCATCTTTATTTTAAACGATTTGTAAACTTGGAAATTACACTTACTCATGTTTTAGTTTGGGTACTTTCCAGTGATCTTTGTGACACCTGAATCTCATCAGGCTGGTGAGTCATTGCTGGAAGGATTTCCTATGGATAGCAAATCTCATGTACAGTTCTGTATATTCAAATGTGAGCAAAAGGTTTCTTACCCCTCCATCTTGAGGCCTATTTTACATCAGGTCCTGTAATGTAAACCTCTGTCCATTGCCTGCAAGGAATAACTACAGTACTGACTTTGTTTTTAAGTATTAAGTGTTCTTTGAAATACAATCATACACTTTCCATATTCTTTCTGTGGGCTCAGGAGAAAGGAGAATGGGATATTGTGAATAGCAAGAAACTGTAACTTGAACAATATTATTCATTGCTTCATATAAACAGAGCTCATTTAGCATTTGAAAGTACTGAACACTGGGACACTAGCACATCCTGCTTAAATGACCCCTGTCACCCCCATGTGAGATTGGATGTGAGCATGTGTAAATAAGATCTTTTGGAGGATCTTATGTGTCTAAAAGAGTTAAGGAGTGATTATCTGTCTTGTACGTGTGCATGTGTATGTGTGCTTTTTAAGATGTAAAGTAGTATACTACTTGATAGAAATCCTTTTCTACTCCTAACGGCTATTTTCCCCCATTTAAAAAGAGTGAAATTGTGTAAATCTTGTGCAGTAACAACACAGAAAATGTAGTGAATCTGGTGCAAATATAAGTTATATCACTATACACAAGCAGTTTCACTATAAAAGCTCACACACTACTGCAAGCTGTATATGGCAGTGACCAAGATAAATACTAAGAGTTATTTAAATATTCTTAGTTTCATCGAGAAAGTGAAAAATATGGCAACAATTGAAAGCCAAGTAGAAGAGTTCTTGAAATTTGAAGATGGGCAGCAACAAAATGAGATGAGAATGAATAAAGGATGTAAGGATCACGATGACGAGGATGTACTACTTCAGGTTTGTTGGCTTGACACTTTATCAGGGGATAAGAACCAGATTATAAAGTTCAGTTGAAACCCAAAGCAAAATCTGTGTCTCCGAAAAAGATGATGAGCAGATACAGTGTTCTCTGGCTGTGTTTTTACCTGACAGTCTCACTATTACCCAATACCACTTGCAGGTCATTTTCAGAAAATCCCGTAGTGAAAGCAGAAAGGAGCAAATTGTAGATTAGTACTCCTTTAGTTTGAAATACAAATTGCTTGCACGGATTAAACGTCCCAGGTCAGTTTTTCCCATCTTGCATTCTGTGGTGCCACACACAACACAACTGCACTTCATACACCCACAACAGATGAGAAGATAAGGCATTGTGAATACCTCTACAAGTTTATAATCACCAAATTCACCAGTCATAATGTCTCACCCATCTAAATTCAAATCACCAGGTAAATAAATCTCCAAGCTGAGCCCAATTTGTATTCCCAGTTTTATCATTTGTATCATTCGTCACAAGTTGTTACGTGTTCCATAAATGATTGCATATACTTGCATTACTCAGGAAGATACCTTTAAGAATCCTCTCAGTGCTTTTGAGAAGTGAGACTTTCGGCTCCTGTTGCTACATTAATGGATAGCTCCACAGTCACATACTTTTAAAGTAAGGTGGTCTGATGTTCATAATGATAACCCTGAGGTCCTGAATCCTCAAGATAACATACATTCTTTTCTTTTAGGTTTTGTTTCTTTTTAAATTTTTTGATGCTTGAAGTTTATTTAAAAGTTTCTTTTCCTACTTGTAAAAGTCATGCACACATTGCAAAAATTTTGGAAACAGAAAAGAATAAAGAAAATAATCCGTAAAGTTACCACCTGAGCAACCATGAATGTTTTTGATTTATTACCTTCTTTTTTTAACCAATATTTTTTTTACACAGTCGAGATCATACTCTGTTTGTGATTGCTATTTGGGGGTTTTGTTTTGTTTTGTTTTTTTAACTCAACATAGCATTAGCATTTTCTCATGTTATCAAAAGGTCTTTCTAGATATCATATGTAACAACCACATGATGTGGGCAATGAATATTTTTGAGCTTAAAACTTTTTCTGCATCTTGGATTACTTTTACAGTATAATTTCCCACAAGTCAGATCGCTGGATTGAAGGGTATGAATATTCTAAGGCTTTTGATGCATGTACTGTAGCTATTTTTTTGTTTGTTTTTCCATTTTTTTATTGAAACATAATTGATTGTACATATCTGAGAGGTACAATCTTAGAATATTAATACCTGTCTGTAATATATGATGCTCAAATCAGGATAATTAGTATATTCAACATTACACAATGTAATCATTTTTTGTGGCCCTTTACCAGTTTTTCACTTACCCTCTCCCCCTTTCCCACCTCTGGTGGAAAAGGTTACACTTTTATTATGCTAGATAACATTTTACTGATTAACTTTTTAAACTAGCATTCTCTGATGTCACTCAGCTATATTGATATTAAATAATTTTATACAAATTTCCTAGAAAGAGGATGCCAAGCTGAAAGCTCAAGAGGAAGCTGATAAACGCAAGAAGGAGCGCGAGAGGATTATGTTACAAAATTTACAAGAAAGATTAGAAAGAAAGAAGGTACTCTCTCACTGTTTGGGGGGGGCAGTGATTCTTTGTTTAAAACAATGTGGGGTACATGATATCAGAATGTGTTTTTAAAAATCACAAATGGTATATACTACACCCTGATTGTTTTCCTACTCTACTCTGTCCTTCCTTATCCAAGGATCTGACCTCTCCTATGTAGAAGGCTCTCCTCTTATTGACCATACCCCTCTCTCATGGACCCTTGATGACTATTACAGCAATGAGTTAATATATCAAACCTCTGGGAACATGGCTCCTTTGAACAGAATTGTTCCTGTTCATGGGAAGGGTTGGTAGAAGTTATTAATTCTGGGCCGGCCCGGTGGCACACTGCTACAGTGCGCCGCTTTGGAGCGTGGCGGTGCTCCCGCCGAGGGTTCGGATCTCACATACAGACCAGCCGCTCACTGGCTGAGCGAGGTGCGGGCGCAACACTGAGGGTTGCGATCCCGTTGCTGGTCCCGGTCTGGTATGGGCGCCACACTGAGGGTTGCGATCCGTTGCCGGTCATGAAAAAAGACAAAGAGGAAAAAAAAAAAGAAGTTATTAATTCTTCTAAACTGGGCTGGAAATTACAACAACAGTGTGAGAAGACGCAGGAAGTGCAGGCCTCTCTGAGAGGCCAAGGTGCAGGCTGTTCGTAAGGTAGGGCCACGTTGCACAACTCACGTGGTTCATCTGGGAGTCCCTGTCTTGGCTCAGGTGCTGCAAGGCCTCTCTGTCAGTAGATCGGTCACCCCAAGGTGGCCAGGGAGCTGCAGCTCTCTTTGTCTTCAGGGAAAGAAGTGGATGCGAGGGAGAGAATTCATATCCCTCCCTAGAACACATCCCTCTTCTGCCTCTTGTCTTCTCTTATTAGTAACAAAAATCTCTGACAGTGTGGCGTTGTTGAGGTGTGTTATTTTCATTAACATCAGCTTCAGGACTGGTCTGTTAAGACTAGAAGACACAACAACCACAATTCCTTTAACTTGTTAAGAAAAGTGAAGAGATACGATGTTGATGGGTGGGAGGGAGGAATTGGTAAAGGGACACAAATAAACTGCATTGTATATTGATAAAATGTTTTTAAAAAGACTAAAATCAGGTTAAAAGCTCTAATTGATTTGCAAGAAGATGGGGTTGGTCTAAGTAATGAATTTCCACGTCTGTGAAATTAGGAGTGAGAAATTGTCACTTGGATGTCTGTGCTATGATAACAAATATAACTGTCACCAGTCAAGGCATTTTATAGCTGAAACTGGGCTCAGAAGGAGGAACTCAACTACCACCCGAGGCCTTTTGTTGGTGAAGTCTGTGGTTTTGGAGCAGTCACTGCCCTTGTCCATCTCTGTGAAATGGAGATAATAAAACCCTTCAGGACTACTGTTTGGTTTTTAATTTGTTTTCATGTTTTTATTTTCCTTTAAATAGAGAATTGAAGAAATAATGAAACGGACCAGAAAGACTGATGTGATTGCCTTAAAGGTAGTCCCTGTACTCCTACCTGCAGTGTATAAGGATTCCTGTTATTTCATCTTTTTCATTTTTACCAATCTGATGGTATCACATTTGCATTTCCCTGATTGTTAAAAAGGTTGAGCATCTTTAGTTAGCTTTCATGATTTCCTTTGTGTGAAGTGCTTGTTTAGGTCTTTCACCCAAAACTTTTGGGTTGGTTTGTCTTTTTCTTAATTATTTGTAGTTCTTTAAATTTCCAGATACTGCTTCTTTTTGGTTATGTGTTAAAGACTCTTCTACCAGTTTATGGCTTGCCTTTTCTTAATATTGTCTTCTGCTGGATAGAAGCTCCTGATTTTAATGTTGAATTTATCAGTATTTTCTGATGACTAGTGGAGTTGGGTGCCTTTTCATATCCTTACTAGCCATTTGGAGATGCGCTTTGTTGAAGCACCTTTTCAAGTCATTTGCTCATTTTCTTATTTTGCCACCTGCCTGCTTTTTATTGATTCATGAGAGTTTTTAACCTACTCTGGTTAGGAGTCCTTCAGATATATGTGTTTCAGGTATCTCCTCCCATGGTGTAGTTTGCCTCACACTCTCCTAATGTCTTTTGAGGAACCAGGAGTTCTTCATTTTAACGAAGTCAGGTTTATCTTTTTTTTTTTTCCGTAAGTGGTGAGTGTTTTTTGGGTCTGTTTCATAATTATTTGCCTACCCCAACATCATGTCTTTTGATGGAGCACATGCCTGTTTTCTCTAGGTTCTGTGTTCTTTACATTCTGTGCTACAAAACTGATTTACAATTGCCCGGTTGTGTTCATCCATATCATTAAGTAGCATGAGAATTTAGAATAAAAAGGTCATTTCTGAAAAGTTCTGGGAGTCACCATCTCAAAGTTCACTCAGCTCATTGGCCTGAGAAGTTTTACCTCTAGCAGCTGCCAAAAACTTTTTAGTATTTCCTGATTAGTCCTACCCTGACTTAGTTAGGATTCCAAGCAGTCAGACACCAAATGCCAGCCCGAAGTTGTAGTCCCTTGCTCCCTCTTAGGGAAATCTTTTATTCTTCGGTGTCTCCCTAGCTGAAAGACACAACTGGGGCCACTTGTAGATTCTTGGGACCAGTTAAAGAGGTTAGATTTCTTTTTACCTTTTAATTGAAATGATGAACGTTAGCCATCAGCCTAGCCTTAAAATCTGACTTTTTTGAAATTCTAAGCCAGGATGATTGAATTTTGTGTATAATCATGATTTTGTTTTTTAATCATAGGCTACAGAAATATCCGGCAATGACACATATGAAGAGGATGAGGCCGATGACGAAAACGAGACAGAAACTGATGAGGACTCCTTTGAAATATTTCCTCCAGGTTTGCTCATTTCTTCTAATGGTTCTATTAGTCACCATTTAGGAGCTAGACAGCCTATGTACATATTCAGGGCCTCCTCCACTTCTGAGCTGTGTGGCTTTAAGCTCTGTGCTCAGTTTTCCCATGTGAATAAATGGAAGCTACTGTTGTCCTCTTCCTGTGGTGGACATGAAATTTCAATGAGATTAATCTGTGTAATGCTAAGATTAGTGCCTGATATGTAGTGAACTTTCAGTAAGTAGTAGTGGCTGCTGCTGTTATTAATTGCACAGGTTGCGCTAGTGGACTGTAGATGGCAGCCCCTCCTCAGCTGAATGTGGCTGCTGCTGGCATTGCACAGCTCAGGACCTCCTGAGGCCTCCATGATTGACCACGGGTGGAATTCCACTTTCCACCTCATTAAGAAAAAGTGAAATCATGTCATGATATGAATGCCCTCCAAAATGTATCATTGACTCCCTTATGATTAGGAACCACCTTATAGGAGCAGTACTTGGCATCTGAGAAAATGCTATTTGTTAATATTTATTCTGCAAGTGGATATTGAACAGGTAAGTCAGGTACTCTACTAGGTACTGGGAATGCAGAGATGAAAAGACATGGCCCTCAGCTTAAAGGAGCCATAGCCAGTGGGGAGACAGACATATGAGCAAACTGATTTGGCTAAAAGAATCTTGATCAAAATGCAATGAGAACACAGCAGAAGGAACCCCTAGGTCTGCCCTAGGGCATTAAGGAAAGCTGAAGAGAGCAGGAGGTAGCATTTGAGGTGAGACTAAACTTGGCTGAACTGGCTGGATAGGTGATGGGGGTGGTGAGAAGTGTGGAGCAGTCCTGCCCTGTGACCTGTTATTCCTTCCTAGCAAAAGAAAGAGGAATTCTTTAAAGGTAGCCCCTTTGTGCTCTGAGGGCAGGGTGACATGTGTGTTAGGCAGTGGCCCAGCCATGGCTTAGAAAGGTGAAGCAGCTCAGGCTGCCAGGCCTGCCATGCCATCAGGATCACGGCCTTCGCTTTTTCTCAAATTTTTTGTTGAAACTCCAGTTTTAATTTTGTTCCTTTTTTCCCCTAGTCATGCTAAATGACAGAGATTCATCTACCAAACCCAAAATGACTCTTAAATATGCAAAGAAAATGCCTAAGCTAGTATTTTTAACAGCCGCTACTGACCGTAACAAAACAAAGACATACTTTACCGCTACTGACCGTAACAAAACAAAGACATACTTTAATTGTGGTGTGAAAAACTTCAGAAAAGAAAACATGAAAGACCCATCTACTGAGGCAAAAGCCTCAAGGTGAGTTACTCAATGAGCTTATCTGAATAAACTTGGTGAGTATATGGTTGACATTCATAGAATGCTAAACGATATTGTTGATTGAGCTCTTAGTTTGTAACAAACACTGTGTCAGGCACTTGACTTTACAGAAATACCTAATCCCCACAACAGCTTTTCTAGGTAAGGATCATCATCCCCATTTTTACAGAAAAGGAAACTGAGGTGCACAGAGACTAAGGGCCTTATTTGCCCAACATCCCACTATTAAAGGGAAGAGCCCAAATTCAAACCCAGATACATCTGGCTCCAAACTGTGTTTTTGTTCACACTGGTTAATGTTGTCATAAAATCAGGGAAGGGGACATTTATTGAGTGACTGCTGTATACCAGACATCTTACGTTACCTATTTTAATTCTCATTGCAACTCTGAGTTTGGTAGTAATATCATTTTACATATGGGGACACAGTGTCAGAGTTCAGGTCGGGAGAGCAGGAACAGGTTCTTGGAAAGGAGCACTATTTGGACAGTTGCCTGAAAAGGCATTAACCTGCAAGGCCCATGGAAACAGTCATCTGCTGAGGCACAGTGACAGTGTGGAAAGAGCACTGGAGCTAGAAACCCCATACCAGTTGTCAAAATTCACCATACTGGCTGTGCTCTTGACCATCCTGAAGCAGGGACAGGGTTCCTGGAGCCCTGCATGCTTAGCTGCTCCTAGCCATTGGTGCTTCCATGACACCCTAGGGCTTTCTAAAATACAATTTGAAAACCTGTGTGTTCTGTGATCTCTAGGGTCCCTTCCACCCTTCCCATTCTATGATCCTGAAAATTCATTTACTTCCAAGGCATTTCTTAGAAGTTAATTCATTAAAGAAAAAGCTTTTAGGACAGAGACTTGGTTTTGGAACAATTGGGATTCTAACCTGTATATCTCTTTCCAGATCATCCACCAAAAGAAAGACCACTCGAAAAGCAAAAACCGGAAAGAAAAACGAAACCAATAACACCATGAAACCTTCCAAGAGTCTGAATCTAAAGCAAGAGTGGATCCTTGAAATTACTGATGTCGTAAGTCACCCAGAAACATCTGTCACAGGTATTCCTCCTGAAAGCCACCAACCCAATCTGAAGGAATCCATCCCATCTTGCCAAAGTCCCCAAACACCTCAAGATGAGAAGATAGGCAGCAAACCTGTTTCTGCTCATTCAGGTAAGGCCTTATCCCATCGTCACTTTGCTCGAAAGGCAATTGACCTTGAACCTTCTCCCCTGCTTCTGGCTATTCCAGGGCAGTCTTTGCACTATGTAACTTTGGAGGAGAGGGAAAAGACAGTACTGGGTCCACGGGAGTGATGTGGAAGAGTCTTGCATTCAGTTAGTTTTGAGAGAGTAGATGACTTGATTCTAATTTTTATGTCCCGCATTTCCTTCCTGATAAAAAATAATAAGTTCTTTTCAACACCCAGATCCCTCAGATCCTTCTGAGCTCCTGATCTGCCAGCTGTTTGACAAGCACACAGATACTTGTTTAGGGCAGAGGGTTAAGGAGATCTTTGGAATTAGTCTCTTAACCTGTGTTTCCAAAGCCAAAAAGCCTTTGTTTTTCTTTGAGAAGCTCTCTTTGAAATTAGGAGAGGCAACTTGGGCCTGTTTGGGGGTTGGAGAAGTGAGGGACATTTATAAGAGCACCAGTGTGTCAGCAACTCCAGGGGGGCTGCTCAGGGTCCCAGTCCTGCCCTGAAGGGAGGCCAGGGTCAAGTGGCTGTGAGACCAGCATCTTCTCTACTAATCTTTTTTTTCTTTTTCCCTCTGGTCAGATATATAAACCGCATGCAGCCTGGGAGATGTATCCTCCTACTTTGTAGAGCTCAACTCCCAGGCGCATCTCTAATAATTTATCTGCTTCTGACTTTCACCGGGCAGAGGAAATGACCATCAGAAAAAAAGGAAAACATCAGAATGCCACTTTGATATGTATCTCAGAAGATTTTCCTATCATCTTTTCCTATTGTGTCCAAACAAGAGTTCTGAGTAAAGAGTCATTTTTGTTTTCCTTGAAAAATCACCATTGTCTGTCATTCTTGTGTTTTCCACCAATATGTGTGCTAGAGTGAGTGTGTATCAAGGATGCTTTCATAACATGCTTACTATCAAATTTCTAAAAGAAGCCTATTAAAGGAATAATTCTTTCAGTATAGATTTGAAATCTTAATGTTTCTTCTATTTAACAACGATATTAATTTTAACAACTAAAAACTCTCATTTGATCTTGTAGAGAACATAATGGATTATGCAAGGGACTCGGGATTGCTCACGAGAACTATGTCAGATTGTTTCTAATATACAGATAGTGAAGATTGCAAAATATAGTAAATTGTATTTTACTATTATATGTGTATATTTTCAACACTGCCTTCGTCTGTGCCAACAAGTGCACAGGTACCGATACCCCCAAATGCTGGGAGTCCTATAAAGTGTTATCTTGGAACAATTAGCATCTTTCATGCTCTTGTAATTGTTTACTTCTGAAGTACATATTGGTGTTTACCTAGAAAAACATGTATTATTTGTATTGTGTACATAAAGCAGTACTTGGCTGTTGCCTCATGGGGCATGTTTAATTCCTGTCAATGTTTAATGTTTATAATCTTCTCCTGCTTGTGCTTTCTACTCCTGTCCTTTACTGTACACTCAGGCTTGGGGTATGTAACCAAAATGTGCTTGCCTTCCTCTGGCCACTGGCTGCATGTATACAGGAGCAGTGTTATTCTTCAGTCCCTGGGATGGGCACAGAGACGTGCACACAGTTGTACACACACGTACGTACACACACGGGATATATGCTTCCATAAAACTTGAGTGCACATTAGTTGTCCGAGTGCTCATGAGTTTTCAGTGTTGAACTGCAGATAGTTTGAAGCAGGCAAGTGTTTTGGCCAGCAGTCTTGGATTAGTAAAAGGAAGTAATTATTCTTTCTGATTCCCTAGTTCTTTGCTGCTCAGAGTACTGTACCTTTTTATATATTAGAGTTGGGTGCCTTAGGTTTAAAAACTATTTTTATACACTAGCTCTTTCATACAGAAGGCAGAGACAATCATCCTAACAAATGAGTTTCTGATATTTTTCTGCACAAATGTCACATGTTGAAATACTCTTTTACAGCTCCATATAAATGTTTGCTATATGAATAAACTTTGCACAAGTAAATAAATTTAACACAAGTTTTCTTTTCGTTATAATAGTAAAAAAATGTACTGGTGGTGGTATGAAGGTGACACAAATTGTTAACCAAGCTATGAACACAGGTAATCAGCAAGTTCAATAAACAATCAAATCCTCTGATTTCCCTCTTCGTGTAGTTTGTGATTTGACGGTTTCACTTCTGGGACAGTGAGATGTGGGTTTTCAAACTCTGTGTGTCTTCCTGCAACTATTTCAGTGCTTGTTACTCTTCCCTGTGATGGCTCCGACTTAACAGTTGACACGTAGTACTAAAGTACTTTTCTTTTTATTGTGGTAAAATTCACATAACCTAAAGTCACTATTTTAACGTGTACATTCACAAGGTTTTGCGACCATCCCCACTGTCTAGTTCCAGAACATTTTTATCACCCTGAAAAGAAACCCCGTGCCCTTTGAGCAGTCACTCCCCGTTTTCCTCTCCCCCAGCCCTTTTAAACCTCACATTTGGTACTTGCCTTGGATGGGGAAAATCCTTGCTCTTTAAGGTCTGAGCGTATGTGCTCAGGCAGTTATTGTGCTCTTTTATGTACACGTCTCTTCATGACATCACTTACTATGAGTGGTAAAACAGATATTTAGTTTCCAATCTTAAAACGTGCTTAACTCCACTAGGTTTTGTTTTTGATAAGGCCAGGTGTCTTTTTTTGTCCCCAGTCTTTGGGGTCTGGTGCATATGAGAATGGTGGTAGCCATTTCCCACTGAGCATTCTAGAGCATTCCATATACATTTGAATCAGCACAAACCAGACATACCCCATTCCTGTCAAAGATACTACCTCCACGAGTGCCTCATCTATGCTAGAAACTTCACTGCCAAGTCTGGCACCAGGTCCTGTTGATCGATCTGTTGGAACTGTTGAACCTGGGTGTTCTTGTTTACAACTCTGGGGTGATAGACCTTGCCCTCTGCTCCTCCCCTGGACACACTGGTCCCCTCATGTTTCCCTTCCTCTGGATAGCTTTTTGTGTCCTCTCCCCGAGGGACAGATCCCCGGCCTCTACCAGCAGATTCTGCAGATCATATTTACTATGCTTGTGTCATCGTGGACACTGGAATGAAGCTTTTAAAGCTCCAATCCCTAGAGACCACAGCAATGCAGTATGGAAAGAATGCCAGAAAAGACCCTGAAGACCTGAATCCTAGCTGAAAGGGCTGCTGGCTTGCTGTGTAACTTTGTGCTAATTGTTCCCCCTCTCTGAGCCCCATTTCTTACCTTTCTAAAGAGAGGGGCTGTACTACAGTCTCTGTGGGCCCTTTCAGTTCTGAGATCCCACTGTTCCAGAACGCCACTAACTCACTGTGGCCAGAGCAGTGGTCAAGAGGCATAAAACAGCAGCTGGTGCTGAGGAGCCAGAGCTTGGAGGCAGACTGTCCATCACATTTTGTCTTACCAGGGGGTCAATTCCCTGTGTCACTTTCAGTGGCCCCTGCTCCGGCTCCCCGCCTGCCTAGTTGGAGGGCCTCCTTGCCTTTGGCCTGCCCCCCAGTCCATTTAGTGTTTCCAGATGGGTTCTTGCTACTTGTTTAATTTTCCCAACTTGTCTTGTAGTAATTATAGTCAGGTTTACACGTATGATACACTGCGTACTTTAGAGGTGTCATTTTAAATCCCCACACCCACCCTATGAGGCGTGGGTATCATCTTTACCTACGAGACCATTTGTGAAGATTGCCATTTGTTCCAGGTCACACAACTAGAAAGGTAGAGCTGATATTCTAACCCAAGTCTGTCTGACTAAAGCTAACACCCCACACTTTGGGAGTGGAAACAGTGTCTTGTGGTTTATAGGGCAGGTCGTACATACTGGGGATAAAATCACTGCTAATATTTATTGAGAGCTTTTACTGGGTGCCAATCTGCTAACACAGTCAACATTGGTGTTATCCTGTAATCTGCATGTGATTCTGCAAGGTAGGAATTATGAGTCTCCTTTTATAGGCAAAGAAACAAGCTCAGAGAGGTTGAGTAACTTGCCCAAGGTCTCATATCTAACAAGTGGCAGAGCAGCCAGGATTTGAACCCAGGCAGCCTGGCTCCAGAACCCACCTGGTTAACCCCGAATCGATGTTCTTGATATTCTCATCCCCTCCATTATGAGGGAGAAAATGTTTCTCTGCTCAATTTGATAACTAGAAATTTACTCTGATCTCTCCTGAGGCTTGTGGTTGTTACTCTTGAAAGCACATATTCAACAAACGCAATGCCTTCTGAGTAGTGTACAGTGTCTGACAGTTTCCTCATTATGATGTGTCCATTTCTATGACAATGCAGTGTCACAAGGGATATGCTAGAAGTGCACAAGTGATATGCTAGATGTGGCTTGTCACATTAGCTGTGTGACCTTAGCAAGCTTCTTAACCTCTCTGAACTTCCATTTTCTCATCTGGAAAATGGGAATGGTAGTGCTAGAGTTGGCTGTGAGGATTAGATCTAATGTGTATAAGGGGCTTGCTTCTCAAGATGCCTAAGTGTTAAGAGCAGGCATCACGTAGCAAGCAATAGCTAGAGGCAGACTACCGAAGGGCCTCAGTTTCCTGGGTGAGCAAGGTGGAGGCAGTCTGTTGGAAAATGGAGTGAGTGGTGGTACCGGGAATTTTAGGCAGTGTGGCCTTTCCTCAGCAGAGCTCAGGCTGTCAGCTCAGGTTTTGCAGGCCGAGCGGGATAGAGGGCAAAGGGGTAACAGGACTGAGGAGGGACAAGAAGGGTTGAAGTGATGGAGCGTAGAATCCAGGGCACAGAGGGAAGAAAGAATGGGAGGGGACTGAGAGAAGAAATCAGATCGGCCAATGGACTGAGGGTCAAACGACTAGTGCGGTAAGTCAGAGTTCCAGGAAGGGAAGCAGCGCGTGGTTAGGGGAGGGCCAGTCTGGATGCTGAAAAGGTCCAGGGCACTGCAACGGGGGCACTGAGCCAGGTGCCAAAGTCCTCAGTGAAGGGGGTGGCCTCTTCTCCATCGCTGGCCGTCCCCTTCAGGTTCCTTTTCTTCTGGCAGTCTCAGGAACTCAGCCTGCTGTTTGGGAAGCAGAGGGGCAGCCGCGTCAATTCCCCAGGCCACCCCTGCTGCCTGGCCCGGATGACTAGACCCTCTCAATGGGTTTAAAGGTTTGAAGGGCTAATTTCTCTAAGGGAACACACAGGGGGATGTTCCATGTTCTTAAAAATGCTTGATGCCCTTCTCAGATGGTAAATGTTAGCACTGAAGGGCTCTGCCCTTTGCTTTTTATTACTCTCAGCATGGGGCCCATCCTCCCTCCCTTCAGGGCTGCCTTTTGCCTAAGTGTACTTAGAAGAGGTGCCCTTATGGTTTGTAGACCTCCCATCGGGAGGAGAGTGCAGCAGACACCTGTTGCACTGGGCCTCCTGTGCCATCCTGAAACGACCACATGGGTGTGGACGGACCGGATGACCCGAGAACGTGAGCCTCAGAAGTGAAAGATAATGCCAGTGTGTGGTGCTGATCTAGAAGCAGTGGCAGCTGCAATGACAGGCTGACCTCTCCCTTTGCCCACCCCCTCCCGGCTCCCTCCCCGTTACTGAAGTCCATGGTGGAGGAGCTTCTGGAGCGAAGGGCAAGGAGCCATGTTTGAAGATCCTGGGCTCCAGAAGGCATGAAGGGACAGGAGCAGGGAGAAAGCACCCAATCAAATAAGGGCCACCATTACTTCTCAGTGACAAGCTTCACCTGGGATTCCCTTCCCACCCTCACCACCCTGGCCGAATAAAATCAATTCATCCATTTGAAGGGATGTGAAAATCTGGGAAAGACTTTTTGGGTCAAGGTGGTTTTGGTTTTTTAACTGGATCAAGGCGGTGTTCCGGGTTTGTTTTGTTTATAATTCCTATGTTCTATTCAATTCTACTGAACTGGATATATCCTTGAAGTAAGGAAAAAAGTCATTCAGGTTTCTGGGTTAGTAGTATCACCTTACAGCTGTTCCACTGGGCAGAATTAAAAGACAGAGGCAAGTTATTTATATGCTGCTTTATTTCTGTAAGGATACACTGAAACGTTAGATGATAATAGCTAATGACAAAATGTAGAAATGAGGCATCAGCTTCTATATCCACTCCTACAAGAATGTTAATATGTATTGTCATTACACATTTACTTTCAATATTGTCTCATTATACTATGTAATATAATAATGTAGAATACAATAAGTAGGTGATCCTGCATTTTGGGTAAACAGTAGGTGGAAATCTGGTTCTGCCTGTGAGGATGGTGGCCTCCCCACACCTCCAGAGATCGAGCTAAGCTCTTGAGGAAAAGTCCTGGGAATCACAAGAGAAGGGACTTCGCAGTCCTTTGTAACACATGGACAAAGAGCAGACAGCTACTATATTACATGGGATTCAACTCGTCACTGTTTTCAAATGTCACATCCAAGTTGATAACAACCCTAGAGCCTGCTCAGCTACCCCTTGAGAATTTTACGGTTACTTCTGTAGGGTGAATTTCAAAACTGCAGGAACGTCTGAGGTGGCTAAAATCTTTTCATGCAAGTTCCCAAACCCATAAACTATTTTGCTATTCATCAAAACAGAAAATATTATTAATTAAAAAAAAGTAAAAAGGACAGCAGGGTTAGTTTTGTTAAGCTTCCAGAAGTATTCGCTGTGATGATGTTCCTCTGAAACAGGCTCGTTTTCTCAGATCTGCTTACACTTTTTAAATCACCTGCATGTTCCCTGCTTTAAAGTAGGAACACTCAGAAAACATGCCACACAGGGAAATCAAACATTAGTATAAAGAAAAAGTCAGTTTAGAATGACAGCTAAATTCAAGTGTTAATTTTCTGGAAATTTGCATTAGTCATTTGAAAGCACAAAAGAAGAGAAGGGAGGTAAGAGTTTTAATGAGAAAGATAAACCATGCATTTCCATAAGTTCTTTTTCTGCTCACAGAAGAGGGTGAGCAGTGAGTTGGAGCAGCCGCTGCAACTCTTGCATGTCGCATGTCATGTGACGACGCAGTGGGTCCCAGCTGAGCCATGAAAGGAATCTCAGTAGGGGCTTTATCTCTTATGCTTCTTGCTTACGTCACTAAGTGGCTAAATGTTTAGCGCTTTTCTGCTTTATGATAAACATGCAGAAGAG